GCCAGCCAACTGCCAGGTTAGATCAAGTGCACGACAGGTAAAGTAACTACTTTGGGACTAGAAAGCTAAGTGGATAAAACAGTCAGGAGCAGCAGGCTGGGGGGCAACCAACTCCAGAGGAAGGTGGCATTAGAGTCCATTAAGAGACCAGCACACAGGTGAGTTGGGGCCAGAACAGAGTGGGCTGGAGGCTGCAGCCTTCACTACTCCCTTGGGGAAGGCCGATCTGGTCCAGCACAAATATATCGGTAAGAGGAAGAGGACCACAGCTCTGACCTCCAGTTCTCACCAAGAGCCCTAGCATAGAGCCTAACGGAGTGCTTGCTATATGCTAGGTTATATATATGTGTGTGTGTGTGTGTGTGTGTGTGTGTGTGTGTGTGTGTGTATGTTACGGTGAACACAGCGTGAATACAGTGGGAAAGGGAGTGAACTGGGGGAATCAGTGTGAGGCTGCACACCCAGCCCTCAGACCATCCAGTCCTGGAAAGGTTAAGAGCTCAGCATCCTATGGGGAGGCTCTGCCTCCAGAGACCAATAGCTCCCACTAGTGTCTCACAATACCAATTCCCTCACCACCTCCCCCACCCCGCACCTTCCATGACCCAACACACACAATTCCTATGGGATCCAAGCATGTTTCATCCTCTTTAGGACCAGGGTTATGTTTCTCCAGGGTCACTACGGTTCCCTTCTCACCAGTCTCCCTACCCTGTAGCAGGTAGTTGAATAAAGACCCAAATCCCAATGTGCATTTAAAGGCCTCATGTGACCAGGGCTTCAGCCACACCTGGACCCCTCCTTCTTTTGTGTGCGGTACTCAGAGGTCTTTCCACTGTTGATAGCCAGAATGTCATTCCCTTCACAGAGACCTCTGTGCACATGCCTGGTCTTCTCTTTGCCCTTCCAACCCACCCAGCATCTCACCCTGCATCTCAGCTAAAGAGCCATTTCCTCCCACCCCCAAGTCTTCAGTCTAAGACAGTTCACTTTCCTGTAGGGCTCCTAACAACCTGGGTATTCCTGCTGGGAACACAGCTCAGTGGTAGTAGATGCGCTTGCCTAGCATCCACAAGGTCCTGGATTCCATCCCCAATGTCATCAGAAAACAAGCTGGGCAATCCCTTCCTATCTTTGTCAAGCCTAGAATCACATGGACGTTGGTTTATTAATATCTTTGGCAGAGATTAACTGGTGAGTGATAAATGAACAAAGGGGAGGGACTATACTCCCTTGGCTCACCTTGTGTCTCTAAGGCCTGGCACATGGCACACACCTAATACATCCTCAATAAACACTCACTGATGGTAGAATGCAGGAGAGCGATGACAGGGCTGGCCCTGGAACTATGGTGCCAGAGTTATTTGGCTCCAGGCTTCAATGTTGACAATTCCAGTTTAGTTCAAATAAATGCCACTCACCAGAGCCAGGCAGGGTTTGGCAGGAGAAGGATTCCATATCCTCAGTGTCATCAGCGCCCCCTCCCCCAAAGCACCAATTTCCCCCAGAAATATCTTCTGGGTGTGGAGTAAGAATGTAAATTCCAGCCTGCCAACCTGGGAAGGCAGCTATGTTTGCTGCTCCCAGCCTCCAGTCTGTATGCAGGCACTCTGTGAATTCCTGAAAATGTGGCTCTAAGGGTAGGACCAGGGCCTTCTGACCGTCAGCCCACCTGGACAGAGCCTTCCCTGGTCTCCTAACGGTATTGGCTGCTCTTCTGAATTCCTAACCACACAGGATCAAGTCCCTCGGGTGCCGTCTACAGCACCAGATCACAAATGACAGGTAGTTTTGCACAGGGTAAAAGTCACAACTTCTTTCCACAACCAATTTGTAAGTCTCATCACCTGCCACCATGATTTACTGACAGTAGGGTCATCCATCCTTCAGCCAAAAAGAAACAAGCCGACATCTCCCGCATCCTCTGCCACCTGTGGTTAGGCAGCTGTCCCTGAGTCTTGAGTCTCCTCTATTTTGGGACAGGTTTTTCTTAGGAGCAAAGGGACACAGGTGCTCTAGAGTCAGATAAATCCAGGGAGAGATTCCAAAGAGGACACCTGGAGCCCACCACACTGTCACCTCAAAGGCTGCCCACCCCCACAAACATCCTGACACTGAGGCCACATACACCTTCAAGCACCATCTTTACACATCTATTTTATTATTGTCTGTCCCTCTGCAGTGCCACCTTCACCTCCTTGGGCTGGCATTACATAAACCTCATTTTAGAATGCATTACCTTCCAATTAGTGGAAAGGCTGGACACTTGTTTCCGATGCGTACTGACTATAATTGCCACAGGGCTACCAAAATCCTCTGACCACTTTTCTGCCTATAAGTCTCCCCTTCTTCATGTTTTTTTTTTCTCCCCTGTATAGCTGCCAAGCATGAGTAAATCAGAGGTGAACATGTGGGAGCTGAGACAGAAGTGTCAGTCTCCAGGTCAGGGAGGAGGCAGTAGGCAGGTAAGTCAGCTGGGGACCATATCTTCCCCACAGCCCGTATCAGCGCTCTGCCGGTCACAGCAGCTTTCTCCCACTGTATATATTAGCAAACAGCAATCAAAGCTCTGAACACCCACCGCTCATCCATCAGCAAAACCACAAAAAGCAGAGGCTGGCATGAATTCAGAGCAAAGTGCAGGGAAGCAGCCAGCAAGATATTTCCAATCAGAGAAATCTGACTTTCCTCCTTGTAAATGAATGCAAGGTAAATTGTGAGACATGCCTTCCAAACACACTTACCCAACAACCATATGACACAAAAATAAAATAAAAAGTAGTTAACTGAGCTTTCTCTGACTTATTAGCTTACATAAACAGAGATTTGAATAAATGTTTGAAAAATGAAATTCCCTTGATACTCTGTAATCAGTAAATGTTCATTATGGAAACACAGCAAATATGTATGAAATTTCCCAAGTGATATTCCAGCTACAAGATAGAAAAAAAAAAGCATCTCAAACAGCAAGCTGAGTTACAAAGCATCCTTGGTCAGACAAGCCAGCTCTCCTCTTCTGGCCAGAGCCAGGGAAAAATAGATCCCATTTTCCCCACTTAGGGGATTTATAAATGAGCCCTGTCCTTCCTGGCTGAGTGATGTCTCTCTATAAATAATTAATCCTTGACTTGACTTTTAAAATTTGGGGTCTTTTTTAAAAAAAATCAATACCTGGAGAACATAATTCACTCTCAGAGTTTGATTCTGGGTAAATAAATAAATAAATTGTGCCATTCGTATGTTCCAGGGTGACTCGGCCATGCGATGCCATGGGGTCAGACTTTGAGGTTTTCTGTATTCAAATGCTATTGGATTTTTGAGCATCCCATCTTGGCTCAGTGTCTTCAGGGTCTTAAGGTCACTCCTCCTGTGGGTCATTTCACAGAAGTGGAACCCACTGAAGGATCCTGAACAAGCTTCCACTCCCCACAAGAAGTCTCCAGACCCTGTTTGCCTGTAGGTGGTGGAATGCCTTGATTAAAAGAGAATGTTCTGGTGCATACGTGTAATCCCAGCACTCAACAGGTTGAGGTCACGAGTTCAAGGTCAGCTTGAGTTACACAGTGAGACCCTGTCTAGACCCTGTCTAAAAAGAAAAGAGGCTCCTATGAAGACGACTGCACTCTTTCCTGTGGCCTGATTACTTTGTCTTTAAGACAGAGACAGGATCAGGGGAGCTAAGGCAGTTAGAAAATCTAAGAGTTCTGTACTCCAAAGGTTGTTCTGTATTGGGGCAGGACTTAGGACAAGCTCTCCTTACCTACCAGTCAAGGTGAACTCAGAGGTGAGTTCAAAGAAAGTGGACTTGGTGGTATTGCCTATGAGCATCAAGGGAGGTGGACAAGCGGTTAATCTGCCCCTCTACCCACCTGCCACCCATCCAGAGCTATGTCCTGGTTCCCAACTGTGTCTCCCACTTTTCCTACAGAGGAATCCCAGAAGCCTGTTCCCTTTAGCAGAGCCAGTCACGCTCAGGGTACTGCTGGGAGAAGGCTCGGAGACGCGACGCAGGAGCCACTGTGATGCGAAAAATGGCTGCGGGACAGAGAGCCCCAAGATCGGACCTGTATTCTCAATACCCAGGGCACAGCCCCCTGACCGTCCCAGCTCCCGGTCAGGGTCGCAGGGCCCAGAGGCAAGATAACACAACCGAAGTTATGGTTTGAGGAGTCCTGCGCGGGAAATGGAGAGAGGTCACTTCACATCCAAGCTCCACCCCTGGCATTGCCCAGACCCGGGAATGCACCTTTGCCTGGCCGGCCTTTAGCATGGCCAGAGCTGGCATGCGGGGGTAGCAGCCTGCTGGAGTTGCAGCAGGTGCCAGGGCTGAGTTCTGTCCCGCGGCAAAGCGGATCCTTTCACCCCCCACCGGAGCCGCCCGAGGCTTTGACTCCCGCCCTAGGAGACACACGCACGCACACACCTTCCTTCGATCATTGACGCACGGGAACACAAAACAGGCCGGGGCCCTAGAGAGTTGCGGGGCGGGGAGGCGCTCGAGGGAGCGCCTAGACACCTTTTGCCTCCTGGTGGGGAGCCCAGGTCGCCACTAACTTTCCCCTTCAGCCCTGCCAGTGACAACCGGCCCTTAAGTCCCAGCTCCGAGCGCACCAAAAAGCGCCGGCGCTCGGGGCGCTCCAGCCCGGCCCTCTGGCGCCCGCCGCTGCCTCCCCGCACCCAGCATCCAGGGCTGGAAGGAGGCATAGAGAGAGCCAGCCGTAGGAGAGAGAGGCAGTTCCCAGGCGCAGAGGCGAGTACATCCAAGGATCGAAAGTCTAATTAAAGTTCCCGCTTGTGGGGGCCGATCCCCAAAGTACTGGCAGACTCGAGCATCGTACATCCCACCAGCACCTGCAGCTTGGGACTGTGATCCCTGTCGAGTGGCAGAGTTGGCGCTCCGTGGGGTTCCTGGCCCGCCTAAGGGCCCTTAGGGGAATCCCTTCCCGCCGGCGGCCAGCACAAGGCAGGAACAGGGGTGAGATGGGGGCGCAGCCACTTACCTGGTGCAGCGGGCTCTCTCCAGGCCACGGATTCCTCGGGGTCCCGGTGCGGTCCTCAGCGACGGGAGAATCCTCCTCCGGGCGACCAGAATGCAGGGATGATCTCCGCCCCGGCTCGGGCCCGGAGGCGTCTCCCTCTCCGTGCGGTACTCGGTGCGGTGAGTGGGCAATCGGCGTGGAGCCAGCGGCCGGAGCGCACAGGAGAGGGCGCGGCGGCTTGCTCTTCCCCGGCCCCTGGTCCAGGATCTGTCCCCCAGGTCTCTGGCACCGCCGGGTCCCGTCTCTTCCCCACAGTGCCTCTGGATCCGGCTCACGCTCTGGGAAGGCTCAGCGAAGTGCGAGAGAAGCCTCCGGCGAGGCTGGAAATAGCGCCGCGCCCGGCCGGAGCCCCGCCCCCGGCCCGGGCCCCGCCCCACCGTGGTATCTGCGATCACCGTGGCGGGGCGGGGAACAGGAGCTCTCCCGCGATCGCTCGGCCCTCCAGGGAGCTCACTGCGCCCACGCGTGCTCTGCGGCTCCGGCGGCCAGCGTAGCCGCGCGCTCGGAAGGAGCCGCTGCTGGGCGCGGTCCGGCGGCCGCGGGGGTGGGGTGGTAGTGGCGCGGGATGTGCCCGGCTCCCGGGTCCCCGAGTGTTGGACTCTAGTCTGCTGCTTGGCTCCACTCCTCAGCCACACAAGCTGCTGCGGCTGCCCAAGGGGTGACACTGAGTACCCGGCGCGGACCCGGGAGGAAAAAGGCAAGGCGCCAGCGAGCAGGGTCACGGTGTGTGCTCAGAAGCCAACACTGCGAGAGAGCGCAGGGTTTGCAAAGGGATTGATTGATAGCCAGAAAGATTCAGATAGGTCCCCCGACTGTAGTCAGCGTGGAATTGGATCAAGGCTCTTGTCAGAACTCATCCCCAAATTTCTGGGGCTCTGTAGCCTATTAAAAGTGCCCAGTGACCCAGGTTCTCTCTTGAGAACTTCGTTCTTGAAGTCCCTGTCTGGCATCAGCCTGAGTGGAACCAAAGAACTCCTCCTCATCCACACCCGGAATTACAGAGTGAGGAGGACCACAGTCACCAGCACAAGGGCAGAAGAGGGACTGGGACCCAGGGCTGTGGATTTTTGTTCTTACTGGGAAGAGGCAGGGGGCAAGCAGGTACCAGGAGGAAAGATGAACTGTGCTCTTACACCAGTAATGTCAAACTGTGTAAGTCAGTCATCTCAGACACACAGAATTAAAAAGAAAAAAAAAAAGAAAAAAAAACATGTGCAGAAGCTTCCAGTAAGGCAGAATTCAGGCTGCTCTCTCTCCTCTCTCTGAGGTTATGTGTACCCCTATGTGTACACACACACACTGATCAGTAGGGAGAGTGGGAATTTCCATTCCCAGCCGAGGCTCAAAGCTGGAGGAAGGAGGCTCTGGACATGGAGTACCTTCGTAGAACAAGTCTACATAGGTTTTACTTCCTAAAGACCAGTGTACACAGGCTCCCCATAACCAGTGAGTAACCCATAACCCTAGCCAACTGACCCAGATGAATGAGTGATGGAGTTAGGGACTGAAATTGAGTGATTAGATAGGGGTGGGTGCAATACTGTCAGGGAGCAGATCCACTCCTGAGCACAGCCACTGAGCCCCTTGCACTAGGGCTCTCATGCTTGGCAGGCCTGGGTGGCCTTGGAACCTCTTTAATGCCAGAGGTCAGCTCAGAGCATCCAAGGATAGGCCAGGGTGGGTGACAAGATAAACTGAAGGATATGGACACTATGGGGGCCTTCCTTTCATTGTTTTTGTTTTGTTTCTGTTTTTTTTAATTACTTATTATTTTTGGTTTACATGTATGAGCATATTGCCTACATGTATATACATGCACCCATGTCATGCAATGCCCACAGAGGTCAGAAGAGGGCATCGGATCCTCTGGAATTGTAGTTACAGACAGTTGTTAGCCACCATGTGGGTGCTAGGAACTGAAACTCAGTCCTCTGTAAGAGCAGCCAGTGCTCTTAAGTACTGAGCCATCTCTCCAGCCCCTTGTTTCTATTTTTGAGACAGAATCTCTCTGTATCATCCAAACAAGCCTCAAACTTGCTATGTAGCCAAGACTGACCAGGAACTCGGTGATCTTCCTTTCTCAGATTCCACATGCTGAGATTACAGACTTGCACACCATGCCCATCTCCTTTTATCCCTTGCAATTTCCTTATGTTCTTACAACAATAAAGCATGTGTTATTATTCTCATTTTATAGATAAGTATACTGAGGTACAGATGTTGTTCACACATCTGAATGGTGACAAAGCCAGGACTGGGCCCAGGAATGCAGGTTCCAAAGTGGAAATGGTTCAGTGCTGGCATCCAGCCCTGTGCCCCGCCCCCATCTCCAGCCTCTTACCCCACCCAGAGTCCTGGTGGGGGTAAGCTTGGCTGGATAGTTACCCAAGATCTCCATCTCTGCAGCTGAGGCCTGAGCGAACACAGGGTTTGGGCCTCAGAAGCCAGCTGGTCAAGAGACCCTCCAATGGCATGTATACCTTGGAGGTCAAATGTATGCACAGGGCCACACACACCTATGTGCACACACACACTGACCAGCAGGTAGAGAGTGGGAATTTCCATCCCCAGACAAGTCTCAAAGCTGGAGGAAGGAGGCTCTGGACAGCAAGTAGCTTCACAGAACAAGTCTGCACAGGTTTTACTTCCTGAGGACCAGTGCACACAGGCACTGTGTCCATAACCAGTGAGTAGAGCTAGTCAGGCCATCTCAGCTGCCCTTCGAATCTGTGTGGCGCGATCCTCCTGGGAACGGTGGTTTTTCCGTTCGCTTTTCCAACTGTACTTATTAGCACTTATTTGCATCTAATAGTCAGGCAGACACCACGAGGAATCAACAGTGCGCATGTTTTTGATATAATCCACATTTTCCCATTTTTCACTCAGACTTCCTTCTTGTTTGGAAGAGGACCTCCAGGGAAATCCTTGAAGGGGGCCTGGGGCCCCTGGCAGAAACAAGGAATGAGTCTTCCTCTGGAGATTTGCTAAGGGCTGCAGTGCCCTTTTTTGAAAGTCAGGCTCAGCCTCTGCAGCGAGGGAGGTGGCGAAGCTCTGCAAAACCCCGCCTTGAAGCCCTGTGTGCGCTTGCGGGTTTTGATATGTGTGTCTCCACCAAAAGATTAGTGGCAAACTTGTCTCTCTGCATCCCAAGTAAGGTAAAAAGACTTTCACTGGATGGCTTGGTGAGTTCACAATCTAAACTCCAGAGGAGCTGATGAGGAGGTGGGGTCTTCGACAACACCGGTTTAAGAGGGGGAGGGGGCTTATCTGCCGGCCACAGGCAAACCCCTCACTCCAGTTTTGGGCTGTCATCTTGTCTTTCCACAGCCACCTTGTCTGCCAGTGGAGATTTCTATCTGTGCCTGAGACTGCTGGCTAACACAGCCATGAAGCCAAAACTCATTCCCACTGTGTTGGAAACCCATTGACAAGACTGAGTGTTGAGTCCTGAATTCTGTTGACATGAGAAGAATCAATGAGGGCTGAGGATGGAGGTAAGTAGTAGAGAATCTGCCTAGACTCTACCAGTGAGGGGCTAGGGGTGTGGCTCAGTGGTAGAGCACCTGCCTAGGATCTACCAGTGAGGGGCTAGGGGTGTGGCTCAGTGGTAGAGCACCTGCCTAGGATCTACCAGTGAGGGGCTAGGGGTGTGGCTCAGTGGTAGAGCACCTGCCTAGGATCTACCAGTGAGGGGCTAGGGGTGTGGCTCAGTGGTAGAGCACTTGTCTAGAATGCCCCAGTGGGGCAAGACTTAAGGTCAGAGCACTTGCACAGCATGCACAGGGTCCTAGGTTAAATCTCCAGCACAGCTAACAATAATAACTTTAATTATTATTTGAGAAATTACTAATGGTAAAACTATCTTCTGGGGTTGGTAGCACAAGCCTATAATCCCAGCACTTGGGAGAATGAGGCAAGAGGGCACATGTTCCAGATAATCCTGGGATGTGTGTTCAATTCTGAGCCAGCCTAGACTACTTAAAAGGACTGTGTATTAAAAATCAAATGACAACAATAAATCAGAAAACAAACCGAAAATAGAGCACTGTTCCTCAGAGAGGAGCAGAGCCTTGTGCAGTAGCAGATTGGGAATGCTTTTCAGGCTCCAGGGGGCCCATGGGAGAAAGAAGAGAAAAATAGAGATGAACCAGGAGGTCAGTTATGGTTCTCCTGGTGCTGGTGTCAGCTGAGTGGTCTCCAGTATGCATTTTAGTCTTTCAAATACTAAAGGGGGACATTTTCCAAAGGAGGACAGTAGACTCTACCTTGCAGAATGAAGGGTATGCAGGTACACTGGACACCAGAGTGCTGTAGCTGGCCTCCCCTTAGCCACCCCCGGACTCAACACCCCAAGGTGTGGTTTGTTTCAAGCATACGGGCCTATTATGACATATTTCCCTATGTCAGGTAGCTCATTGGGCAGCTGGGTCAGGGACATGCAGATCGAGTCAGGCGTTGCCTCCTTGGGAAGCTGCTTCTCCAGCTGCTTCTGTTGAGGTGCTAGTGTGGGCATATGGCCAATGCCTTCCCTTCACAGTCCTTGCTCTCCCATTTAAACAGTAACGAGGGGGCTGAAGAGATGGCTCAGCAGTTAACAGCACCGGCTGCTCTTGCAGAAGACCCGGGTTTGGCTTTTAGCACCCACATGGTAGTTAACAACCGTCCATAACTCCAGTTCCTCAGGACCATCTGACGCCCTCTTCTGGCCTCTGCAAGCATGGAATGTGTGTGTGTATCTACATATGCATATATGCCAATATATGCACATATATATATATATATGCAGGCCAAACACTCATATACATAAAATAAGTAAAAATTTAAAATATTGAACAGTAATGAGATTGGGGCCCAGACTCTTGAGTCCCTGCTCTATGCGATGAGTTGTAAATCCATGATTCTGGAAAAGTTGTTTAAGGAAGGAGGTTCGAAACCATTTCCAGTCAAGATGTCTCTTAGCCACCTACTGGATGACTCTTTTGGGTACCTTTTCTCCATTCCTCATGATCCCCACCACCACCTTTTCTGTCACCCTTTGGGTTTCTAAGGAATTGGAGGATCGCTTTGCTTTGTGTTTTTCTGTGTTGAATTGC